TTCGACTTCCCCTCATTTTTTTTTTTCAAATAAGTGCTGGAACATTAAAACAAAATAAATTAGCAGTAAAGCAAAGTAAAAATAAAAGAAAACATTGGATAAAAAATCAGATTATAACATCTACTTATTAGATTAATACCTTCTTCATCGTCGTCGACTTTTGCTTATTGGATTAAATATCACAATTTGAATTCACAGCCTGAGAAGGAAACATCACAATATCAATTTGTAGACTTTTCAATAGGAGAAAGAAACAGCACAAGCAATATCACTTTGGTAAATAAAGTACGTTCGAAAGTAGAAAATCTCGTGAAGGTTAGAAAATGAGAAATCAAAGGTTAATGACGCAAAAGAGAAGTAGAATATAACAAGATAAGGAAATAAAAGGTGAGAAAATGGGATTAAAGAACCATAAATTGAAGGAGAGAAGGGAGAATAGGAGGAGGGGTTGAGATTATTGACACAAAGACTCTTGAGTTTGAAGAAGGTGAAAGTCAGAACTTACCGGAAGAAGGATGGAGTGCAAAACGGCATCACAAGACTAAGGGTTAATTTAATCGAAACATAATGGAATTTCTCCTAAAAGTTGGGAGGCCTAACAGACGAATATGTTACCGAAAATACACAAGAAGTTGATCCGTTGTTTTTTCCACAATTTTGCCCTAGCTTAGTTCTTTTTCATAATTTTTTCATGAGTTTTTTAAGTTTTTATAAATCATGTTTTGTAGAAAATCAAATGACTTTATGTGATTGTAATATAATTATAATGTAATGTCTTAATTATCAAATTAACTTAAGCAATTGAATTATATATTTGAATGTTAAAAAAATTCATCCTAACAACATGATTAATGTATCATTGATTTTATGTACATAAGTAGTAGAATAAACTTTTCTTAACATTCATATACAATCTAAGCACTTAACACATAAATAAAAATATTTAATTTCGAAGTTTAACTTTTTTATAATACAAGTACAAAAAAACAAATTTCAACAATTAATCACAGTAAACCACTCTTAAGAAAGCAAGAAACCTAGGTTTAAAGATTTTAAATCTCAAGAAGGGCATTAAGTATTGACTTGTAGTAAAGGATTAATTAGCCTAAAAATAAAGTTTGAGGGCGAAATTGGACCAAAAGGAAGTCTTAGGCCTAACAACCCAAAATTACGCGTTTATCCTTGTACCTTCACCAGCCTTGTTGACGTCCTCTGCTTCCTCTTCTATTGTGATCGGCAATGACCCAAGATACGGGCGGCAGGCGGCAGGCGGCAGGCGGCAGGCGACCTCAAAATTAGCAAAATGGGTACGTTTTCGATGGCGAAGAGGTCATAACTGGTGTGTTCGGCACCGAAAACCTCCTTCCAGCTGGTATTATCCATTCTCGGTGATCGCAAAAACCATCTGGAAAGTGGTTTTCGGAATTGGAGACGCTAGATGTGGCTTCTAATGCGCAGAAATCCCTTCCTACTGTCATAACCGGAGTAGTCCCCGGAGAGAGTTCCGATTTGATCAAATTGCAGGTATGTAAATACGTTGTGTGTGTTAGGATTCACTTACATAATTATTATACAAAATCTTGATTATTGGTCTCTATTATGAATGATTGATTCGGATTTAGCACGATTAAAATCTTAATCTAAACAGATGAATGGTAAAGATTTTGTGGAAAGGATGTGTAACTAATGTTTTATTTAGGGTTGATGGTTTTTCATCATCCTTTCCTCTCATGATATACAAAAATCGTTTGTTTGCCTTTGTTTATTTGAGGACTTATTTGCCTGAGATTTTAGTTGGGAGAATGAGTAGGGATGTTGTTAGAATTTGAATTCAATGAATGGAATTATGACATGAATAAATGAATTAATTGAAGTGTCTATGGGTGTGTGCATGTTGCAAGTATGAGAAAAATACCTATCTAGAAGCATTAGTGCTATTTACGAGTTCCCTACTAGATTCAAGGATTTAAGTTTGAATGGAGCTAATCAACTCGCAAAAAAGGTACTTATGAATTTCTTAAGCTTACTTGAATAGTCACTGCAAATTTTCCTGTTCAATGTTGCTGGCTTGAGAACATTTTGGTGACCCTTACTTAAGTCTTCTTGTCAGAGGGTGGGGGTTACGTCTTCCTGTCATACATATCCATTCACATAATAAGGCTCATTAGAATTGTTTGTAGCCAAATGGTGATGGAGAAATTCAAACCATTCTATTGATAGAATTAAGGCTTGATTTTGCAGATTTAATTTGTGTCTCTAGTCAATAAGGAATAGTCTTTTCGGAGGGTGGCTGAAAATTATAGAAAATAATTCAGATTGAAATTTAAGTGGCGTGGGTGTGACTGTGGTTCGCCTTTAATAACACTGGACCAGGGGAAACAAAAAGAAAAAAAAGATGTGGAGAAAGAATTAACATTAGAAAATGACTGCTTAAATCATCCATTTCACTTCTAAAGTTAAAGATATTCTATCAAGCAAAACTAAGATAGTTGAAATTAAGTAAAGAGTTTTTTCCATCTCCACATTTCAATTTGTTCAAGGTAAAAAAAAAAGGGACAAAGAAGTAAGCCGCAGTTTAGGTCTCATTAGAAGTTTCAAGAGCCTAACATTAGTAACCCAGTTAAAGGTTCTCATTAGCAGTTGTGATGAATTTCTTATTCTCACTTGAATAGTGTTTGCAAATTTTTCCAATCAATGTTGATGGGTTCAGGACATTATGGTGACCCTTGCTCAATCAAGTCTTCTTGTTAGAGGCTGGGGGCTTATGGCTTCCTGTCGTATATATCCATTCACATAATAAGGCTCCTTAGAATTGTTAGGGCACAATTGGGGATGGATAAAATTCAAACCTTTATTTCCTGCATGGTTTACTTCAGTCCCTATCATTTGAGTCTTGACGATACCAACAAGAGTTTGATTGAGTTGGTTCGTATTAGTTTCAAAACCTTAATTTTGGGTCAAGGTTAGAGTTTCAAATTCTGCAACAGTTACCATCTATATACCAAAAAAAAAAAAAAAAATTTTGAGCTTACCCTAATAGGTTCACAATTAAATAAGGAAAATGATTCAAACAATGTCTAGTTACAGTAAAATTTTACAATTCTGAGTGACAATGATGGTAATTATGATTAACTTTTTCATTGAGTGGAATGCGTGAATCTATATTTATCCACTTGATGCCATTTTTTTTATTATAAGAATTCATTTTAAGAAATATTGTACATGAATTAACTTTAATCAAATAAGCATTACAAATTAATAATGAAAAGGTAGAAACATTGAAGAGAAATTGTTGACTTGTTATGCATATCTTTGTAAATATTACACTTACAAATCAATGAAATCAAGGAAAGAATTAAGGACATCTTTTAGAGCATTGAGAGTCAATTAAGGGGATGATGATGACTGAATCTTCTTAAAGTGGAAGGAGAGGTTTTGAATCCAGAGAAAACTCTGGCAGGTGGCTTGTGGAGTGGAGTAGACACAAGTTGTGACTAAACCACTATAAAGGCTTGTGTTTGAGATTTCCCTTCTCCTAACTTTTAATTTCTACAATTTATTTTAATAAGATTCAATTGTTTGTCAGTTGTTTGTTATTGCTTATTGATTTGATTTGAAAAATTGCATAAGTTTTTTGAATACACAATTCACTCTCCTCTTGGGTTCCCATCATATAGGCCAACAACATTGAGAAGATGATGGCTTAAATGACCCATTTCACTTCTAAAGTTAAAGATATTTCATGAGGTAAACCTAATATAGTTGAAATTAAGTATAGAGTTTACTAGAAAACTAAAAAACCGAGAGGACAATGGACCTGAATAGATCCTTAAACTCCTTCGTCTCAAAGAAAAATGGTAAACAACCACCAAGGAAAAACATTAAACAATCTTAGGTGGATGGTAGGAGTGCTCTCCCTATCTTTTTTTTCTGTTTGTGTTTTTCTATCCCGACATTTTCCTTTGTTCAAGAAAAATAAGTGGGAACAAAAAAATGACGATGGTTCAGGTCTCATTAGAAGTTTCAAGAGCATCAAAGTGAATTTGATGGAAAAAAAAGTTGAAAACTAAGAATGACTTTACTTAAGACTCTGTTTAATATAGTTGTGGTTTTAAGTTTTTGGTTTTGATTTATTCAAACCATCAAAATTAACAATTAAAAACCAAAATTAAAATTACCAATTTATTGGATATAAAATTTTAAAACAAATACTTAAAACTCCAAACTTAATTAATTTATTGAACTACTTAATTATATTATAGTAGTTTCTAAATTTTTGAAAACCAAAACAAAAAACCCAAAATCACAACCATACTTAATGGCTAACAGTAATGTGTGAATGTTTTGTCAAGAAATTTATGATGTCATGCCCCACTTGTTGCTTCCTATATTGAATTGAGCAAGGACACTTTTGCCTAGGAATGCTGTTAGAATTTGAATTTAATGTATGGAATGAGACACGAATAAACGAATTAATTGAATTGTCTTTGGGTTTGTGTAAGTTGTAACCATGTGAAAAGTACCTATATTTGTATTTTGAAGCATAAGTGCTATATACATGTTCCCTACTGGATTCAAGGATTTAAGTTTGAATGAAATGAATTAGCTTACGATGAAGTAGTTCTTATGAATTTTTTAATCCTAACTTGAGTAGTCTTTGCAAATTTAGTCTTGAGCCATTGTTACCGTGTTTAGAATATCTATTGGTTTTAAATAAGCAATTCCTATGGATTTCTTTATTTTGAGTTGGGGATAGTCTTTGCAAATTTATTCAACCACTGTAGCCGGGTTGAGTGCGTTAGGGTGACCAGTCACCTTTCAATGCCAATTAGATTTATTGCTTTGATCTTTCAAGTCACATCAACCTTTCTAGCTTAAGTCATTTTGTAGGACATAATACTTTTATTTGGCATTATGCATACACCACACATTGACTTGAATAGTCTTTGAATAATCTTTGCAAATTTGGTCTTGAGCCATTGTTACCGTGTTTAGAATATCTATTGGTTTTAAATAAGCAATTCTTACGGATTTCTTTATCTTGACTTGGGGATAGTCTTTGCAAATTTATTCAGCCATTGTCGCCGATTTGAGTGCTGGGTTGAGGGCATTAGAGTGAACAGTCTCCTTTCAATGTTCAATTAGACTTATTGCTTTGATCTTTCAAGTCACATCAACCTTTCTAACTTTAAGTCATTTTGTAGGACAGAATACTTTTATTAAGCATTATGCATACATCACACGTTGGTCTTGAGTCATTGTTACCGTGTTTAGAATATTTATTGGCTTTAAATACGCAATTCTTACAGATTTCTTTATCTTGACTTGGAGATAGTCTTAGCAAATATATTCAGCCATTATAGTTGGGTTGAGTGCGTTAGAGTGATCAGTCTCCTTTCAATGCCAGTTAGACTTATTGCTTTGATCTTTCAAGTCAAGTCAACCTTTCTAGTTTTTGCAAATTGGTATAGCTACTGTTACCGGTATGAGTACATTATAATGACATTATTACTTAATCTTCTGCTATACTCTCCTGTCATAAAATAATAGATGTTTTATGAGTTTATCTTTAGATTAAGGATTTGTCATCGTTGCTAAGTGTTTTTTTGCCATTGTTGCCAAGTTTAGAATATTGATTATAGGATTTAAGTTTGAACCAAATCAAAGGTTTTAAAGAAGTAATTAATTCTTACGGATTTCTTTATCAATGTCAGTCATAGTTATTGGCATATTGCTTAGGTCTTCCACTTATGGTTACGGATTTTTTGTCAGTTATAGTTACGGATTTTTTGTCAGTTATAGTTATTATTATGTCTACCTTTCTAGTTTACGTTATCTCTTAGATAGAGCGGTTTTAAAAGAGTTTATTACAACAATGCTATGGTTACAATATTATATAAAATTATAAACTTATAATTTAACTTTATATTAAATAAAATATAATGTGATATTAAACAAGTTGATGCATACGATATTACAAGTAGATCACTAAATAAAAAGAGTTAATTGTAAAATGATATATTATATTGTAAATTTATAATATCATATGATAGTATCTATAGCATTCTCGGTTTTATTAAGCATTAAGCTTTCAGCGACTCATCCTTACATATTTCCTAATCTTGAATAGACTTTTCTAATTGGACCACAATCCCACCCAAGGTACGCCAAGGCTCTACCATACTCTCTGTTTTAATTTACTTGTTACACTTTTGCTTGATAATGTTATAGATAAAATTACTCTTTTTAATATGATTTAGTTGTCTCATTTTT